GGTCGTCTGCGTGCACGCTTGCGAGCGAGGGTGCAGGTTGTCTGCGCACTCGTGAGAGGGCTCGGGTTGTCTGCATGCATGAGAGGGCGCGGGTTGTCTGCGCACGCGTGAGAGGACGTGGGTTGTCTGCCTGCACACGTGAGAGGGCGCAAGTTGTCTGCGCACGCGTGAGAGGATGCAGGTTTTCTGCTTGCACACGTGAGAGGGCGCAGGTCATCTGCACGCGCGTGAGAGGGTGCGGGTTGTGCGCGCGCGCGTGAGAGGGTGCGGGTTGTGCGCGCGCGCGTGAGAGGTTGCGGGTTGTCTGCACGGGCATGGGTTTATGGTGTGCGTGTGAGGGTGAATGTGTGTGAGAGGGCACGGTGTGTGTATGAGAGGGCACAGTTGTGTGAGTGCCTGTCCACTGGCACTATTCCACCCCCTTAAAAAACGCTGTCATCGCCCCCACCTCAAGAAACCTTCCTTTAACCCATCTCTCGTCTCTAACTGCAATCTCATTTTTAACCTCCCGTTTCTCTCCAGGGTCCTAGAACGAGTCGTTGCTTTGCTGCGTCTCCTGCCACTCCCATGTATGAACGCCTCCGTTGGGTTTCCATGGTGCCCATAATTATGGAGTCGGCCTTACTCAAAGTTACAAATAACATTCTGTCCATTTGTGACTCCTCATCCTTCTCGATCTCTCCACCGCCTTCGATATTGTCAGCCACTCTATTCTTCTCTTCCGCCTATCCTCTCAGCTCGGTTTTCATGGTCCTGTCCTTCCTCGTCTTGTTCCTATTTTTTCCATTGTCTACAATTTGTTTTCACCAACGGTCGGCAAGTGCTGCATTCCCCAGGGATCTGTCCTTGACCCTCTTCTTTGTAATATCTACATGCTCCCGCTCGGAGATATCATTCATAAACATGGTTCCACATGTATGCGGATAATACCGAACTCTATGCCTCCACCCTCGACTCCACCACCACTGCTGTCCTGACAGAGTGTCAGTCATAAATTCCTGGATGAGGCTAATTTACTCAAGCCGAATATCAACAAAAACAAGTGAATTTATGTTGTTCATACAGGGAAAGCTCCAACTTTTAATACCAATTCATATCAAACCTATATGTAGAGACAAGCTGCAAAGCACATTTGAGAAATATATTGTTTAATGAGGATGGTTGTTTGTTTGTAAGCTATATTGTGTAAGAACGAGAAGATGCTCAAACAGTATATTTAAAGAAAATTAATTTGTAGTAAATCTAACCTTTGGGATTAAAGACCTTTTACATTTTTGTCAGCGATGACCATATAGTAGATTTAGGAATAATTTGTATTGTTATTTGGAAGAGATTTAGCGGTTTGGACATCTTTGTAAGATCAGAAAGGTGAATTAATGCTATTTTGATTGACAGTACCAAAGTTATTCACAAAGGTGCTGCTTGAGTGAAACATTGTGTTGGCCAGAGATTTTGAACTTGAAGGTGAATTGGCCCTTAAACAGCATAAGTAGTGAAATAATATAATTGATCTCCATCAACAAAGTTATTTGAAACCACTGCATCTTCCATCAAGAGTGGTTGCAATTCCAGTGAGGTGATTTCAACTTCTAAAAGATGAGAATCTCAACAATGTAGAGACATTTTTGGGGGATTGAGTATGATTAAGGAAACGATATTGGTAGCAGCAGAGAAACTATATTAGGTCTACCAAATCAGATGTTGAATCAAGACTTAAATGGAATGATGATGCCTGTCAATGGCCAAACAAGGAAACTGCAGAAAGTTAGCAATTTTGATGAGTAGGTGGGAGATTTTGAGTCTTATTCTGGATTGTTGTTGGGTAAATATCTTAAATTATCATAGGAAAAATAATAAATCAGGAACTACGGTAGAACCCTGTTACAGCAACAACAGCTTGCATTTATATTGCATCTTCTATGCAGAACAGCATCTCATAGCGCGGAGCTTGACTCTGGCGGGGAGGAGGTGGCCGTAAGCACGGTCGAAGAGGAAGGTTTTCAGGCGGGACTTGGAAAGGGGCAGAGAGGGGACAAGGCGGAGGGATTGAGGGAGAGTGTTCCAGAGTTTTGGGGCTTAGTGGCAGAAACCTGATAACACAGATTTATTTAGAACGCAATTGGGGTATGCACTTTCCTTAAAACACAAAATGCTCACAGAAAGTCAATTGGATTTGTGATGAGGTAAATTAAGGCATTCTGAATTCTTTAAAAAAAAGTACACTACAGATTTACAAATCTTCAAATTAATTTACTCGATTGGATTAACCTCATCTATAGGAGGCACTTAGAATAATACAGTGACGCACTTCTTTTTCTATCTTTTTAATAAGTAGAACAGTAATAAGTGGAAAAGGCCAAGTGAGAATCTCTTGCTTCACGTGGAAAAGGCCCTCGATTGGCATGGATTTTCCTGAGATCTATGCTCGATTTGAAGGAATTTGGGGAAATGAATGTTACTTTCACGGTCACTCATCATGAAGTTAATGAACTACAATCATCATTGGTTGAGCTGTCTAGGAATATAAGAGGGATGCCGCTGGTCTCTTCTGCTGTTTTTATTATTTGTAATTTAATAGAAACATTGACAATATCTTTCATTTTTCTTGCATAAATAAATGCCTTAAAATATTTGACACAATATGTCATTGGAAATGATAACTAATCTGTATCCATTATAAAGATATTTGCAGGATCAGAGCTGGTTGAAGTGAATACAATATTTCTTTATGTGGAGTGCCTTGTCCCAATCATGTCTTAATAGTGTTTGATGATTTAGCTCTCCATTGGACTCTGAAATGAACTACAGCAAGTGAAACGCCACGGCTGTTCAAGATTTATTCCATTCCATTTCAAAATAACTAGTGTCGGCATTCAGTAAGTAAGGGTAACGATCCCACAAGACCTGCTTGTGTTAGGACAATTCCCCCATCCCCCTCATGAAGGGCGATCAGTAAGGACTTGGATAGGGCTTTTTCCTTTTCAAAAGCAATTTTTTTTGTTTGTCTTAAAGGCGCCTGCTCCACATCTCTGCCTAGTTTTAGAGGTGTGGATCAATGGATCTCTCTCAATTTATGTAGGAGGGAAAAACATCAAATCTTAAAATAATCAGGAAGCCTAACAGCAAATTAGAAATGAATTTTCTGTACGCGGTTGGGCAAAGAAGGTCTCACAATACAACATAACTCCTAATGAGTATTTGGTTCTTAGACTATTTACTCTTTTCCTAGTCTTGGTCGGATGTCAAGTCTTGGTCCACTGTCTAGTTACACAGAATGAGTACCAATTGTTTGCTCTTTCCTGCTTTCAGCATCTTCTGCCAAAACTACAAATGGCTTTTTCCTACCTGATTTAAAACTTTCTGGGATTACGTGAGCAGGATATGTCCCTTTAGGGAAGAGTGTAGGCACTCCATTCCATATAATTGGAAATTTTCATACATATGCAGAACTCTGTTTAGTTTGAATACTCTTAAGCATAATGGTGATGGGTTTCCTCAAGGCTGACCAAAAAAAGGGCGGTGGGGGGGCATTGCATTGTCAGAGATACCTTCCTTCAAATGAGATGTTAAACCTGGGTCCCGTCTGCCTGTTCAGATGGACTGTAAAGATCCCTTTTGCACGTTTCGAAAAGTGAAGGTTCTCTCAGTGTCCTGGCCAACAATCCCCCAAATAAACTTGGCCATTCCCTTCATTACTGTTTGTGGGACATTTTTGTGTGTGAATTGACTGTGTGTGGCTACAAATACACAAGATTTCTAAAGGATAGAGGATTAGATTTCTAAAGGATAGAGGGATTAAGCGATATGGGATAGGGCGGGTAAATGGAATTAGGTTAGAATGATTTTATTAAATGGCGGGGCAGGCTTGAGGGGCCGAATGGCCAGTATAACATCTCCTGCTCCTACGTCTTATGGTCTTATGGTCTAAGTCGTTACAATGTACTTTGCAGTAATTCCTGTGAAGTGTTTGAAATGCATTAACGTGATAAGGAGCTATATCAAATTCAAGAATTATTATAATGTTGAACTTTCCTTTTAACTGGAAAACTAGAATTTCTTTACTCTTGACCAGTCGTCGTGATGTTGAAGGTTGTGTTGACGAAGGGGCAGTGAAGTGAGGCAAGAGACATTTATGCTGAATGGCAGTGTCCTTTCACTTCTGGGATGAAGTCCAAAACACAATGATGGAATGAAAGTTTCCACTCTGTTGGCATTAAAGATCCTATTGAGCAAACTCAATCCTGTTGCTCACAGCACTGAACAGTTCAGTTTGGCACAAATTCCAGGAAGCTGTCAGCTGTGCTTAGGGGCCTTTACATTTCCATGGTTGGGGTTAATGAAAAAAAACATAGAGCTTTATCATGCTGAAGCTTTCAAAGTGATTTGCAGTAATTATTGTCAAGTGTAGTAACTGTTTTCTAAGATCTCACACAGTCATGAGTGAAGACCAATTTGTCTGGAGGATTACAGTCATGGATTGAGTGACCATATTATTATTATTTTGGAGATATTATCCCTGAAAAGTGATCTGCCAATCGATTAACGAACGGGTTCCTACTTACTGCTCGGCAAACAGGCGTGTGTGTGCAGTAAGGAAACTTGCCTAAGGTTTTGCCCTGTCCCGCCCGGGAATCGAGCCCAGGTCCTTTTGCTTGCGAGGCGAGTGCTCTAACCATTGAGCTACAGGACTCCACGCGATCTAGCGCCTTATCACTCTTCGAGATGTTTCAAAGCACTTCACAGAATATACTATATTTTGTGGGCGAAATGCACAAAATCCTAAATCAACTTGAAGGCCACGTGTTGACCTTCAAATAATTCAATGTTCTTCTCCTTCCATACATTGTGCAATTTTCTCCTGCCCATAATGTTCTTCTGTTTCTGGGTCTACTGCTCATTCCTCGCGCCCTCCATTCTGCCATCGATGTCATTCAGTCGGTGTGCACTTTCTCCAAAAATCTCTTTGCCTTCTTACTTTCAAAAGTTTTAAAATTGTTCTCTTCAACTGTGCTGTAAATATTCCATCCTTTTCTCCGTGTTCAGGATCCCCAATGTCTCCGCTCAGTGTTTTGAGTTGTTTGATTGTAGCATGGGTACAATTTTCCTCTTATTTGAAGAGGGTTAGCCTTGTTTGGGTTTGGAAATTACATTGGATAACTTTGTTTTTGTGTTCTGTGAAGGAACACGTCTCCAGGAAAGGATATTCATTAGGAAATGAGAATAACTTCTATGAAAGAATTCAGTCATCACCTCATGAAGGAGCAGAAGCAGTCACTCGTCGAGCAGGTAAGTTCTATAACTTGAAGTAACTTGTCACTTAAGTTTAAAATTCTCTTATTTCTTGATGGGCGGTAAACGGAAGGAAGAGTGGTTTGTCAGGGAATATATGGTGGGTGAAGTCTCCTTGATTTCTTGAAACGAGTTCAACTCTAGGCATAGTGTCATTAAGTTTCTTTATATGCAGCTAGATCAAGGCTGTTAAATTGTTACAGACTGATTGGTTGAAACATTGAAATTCACACTTTATTTTTTGAATAGCTGGTGAATTAAGCAGTTATTCTGACATGTCAATGTGCATTAATTTATTTTGTTATTGATTCATAATTACAGTTCAAATGTAATCATTCACATAGACTGAATATCATTGTTTCTGTGTCCCAAGGAGCTGAAAAGCTTGATGCATAGTTTCACATCAATGTGACTCCAAGATGAAAAGGATGCTCCACATCCCCCGCCCCAACCGCCCTACCATCGGTGGCCGGGCCTTCAGCCTCTCAGCCCCCAGTGCCTTCGCCGCTTCCTCCCTTTCCTCCTTCAAGGCCGGTCTCAAGACCTTTCTCTTTGACCGTGCCTTCAGCTCCCCTCTCGACTCTCTACCCCCTCCTCGCTCCCTCCCTTCCCTTCCCTCACCCTGACCATTTCTCCCCTGCTCGGGTCCTGATCCAACTGTCCAGCACCTTGGGACGTCCTCCCACGTGAAAGGCGCTCTATAAATGGAATCTTGTTGTTGTTGTTGTTGTTGTGTGCAAGAGACAACATGTGGGTACAGGTCGAGACCAGTGAATCATAGGAAATGTAGTCTTGACCCGTCGCCCCATGTGTCCTTACCAGCTGCAGTGATGAAGCACATCATGTGCACTTAACTGGCGGCATTGAATTATGCATGCGCAGTGTAGATTATTGATTAAATCTGATTTTATACAAGTTATACACTTTGCCTGTGACTCAGATTCACGTAAAGTCGTATTAAATGTAATGGCCCCAACTGATACGACTTTTGTAAGTTTTGCTGTAGTACTGTATTTGCCAATGTTAGTGCCTCAAGTTGCTGGCATTGTTGATCATTGTCCATATGTGAACTATTCATTTGCTGGCAGAGGATTGCACCGCATTCACATAGTAAACAAAAACTAAATGATCCTTTTGATGTCTCTTCTATGTATCCTGTAACAATCTTATCAAATTACATTTTCCAGGAAAACAAAACCTAACACAAAAACCTGCAATAAATATGCTGAAGGCAAAAACATCATCATGTATTTATGCAGCGGCCTTCACACAGGGTAGTATCTCAGAGTGCTTATCAGTGGCAGAGCTAGGGAAAGAGGGGACGTGATGATAAGCGCAGTTGACTGGGGTGTAAGCAAGTATTGGAAGTGCCAGGGCATGAAGTGATTTGTACATGAGTGTAAGGATCTTGAAATTGATCCGTTCTGCAATGCGGAACCTGGAAAGGATGGGATGGAGTTTTGAATTAATTGGATTTTATCCACGGTAGAGCTGGGGAGACTGGGAGGAGGGCATGGGAAAAATTGAGGTGGGAGACGATGAATTTGTGGATACAGTTTTCAGCTGCATTGGGTGTAAGGTATGGTCAGAGGCGGAGATGTGTTGGAAAGTGCTCCTTGTTAGACCGGATGCGGGGTGGGAAGGACACCTCGGGATTGAACCTGAAGCCCAAGTTGTGTGCAGGTTCAGTAGGTTTGAGGGATAGTCAGGGAGGTTAAAGAGTGGAGCTACAGGTGAGTGTATGTGAGGCGTCCATCAAAAACTGCTGGAAATAAAATAATAATGCCCCATCATGTTGTGCTGTATTTGGCAATTACTGTTGTATATTTTACCATTTAAAGCAATAAAAAGTGCCTTAGCTGCAAGAACTATGATAACTAGATGGAATTCACCATGTCTCCGTTTTGAGGAAAAATATAAATGCTCTTCAAATGTGCTGCCAACAACATTACTGTTCTGTAATTGGTATGAAACTCTTCACCATTGTTAGCTGCAATTTATTATTATGTTATATTATTATTATATTATTATTATTATGTTAGATGCAATTTATTATTGAAATGCTATTGTGACTAACGCATTGAATAGGCCTGAGGGAAACCTCTGGGTGTTAAGCTTTCTTCCTCTCGTGTTGACTTTATTGTGTGTCTGTAATGCTGTGACTTAAGATCTCAGTTGAAATACTGGTTAGTTCAGGAGACTCTAAAGTGTTCATTGCAAACCTTTTTGATACAAATATAGAAGTTACAATTAGGACAGAAATTGCTGTAAATTTTAAAGTGTTATTCTTTTGATTCTTACAAAATCGATGAACCATTTATCTTTAATCAGGTTACCTGTTGCTTTCTATTACTTGTAGCAGTTAAACTTATTAACTGTAATAAGTGAGTGCTGATGAACAGGAGATATTTCCAGTTGTTTTAATGCTTTTGAACCAAGATTTTTGTTCTGATTTTTCAGCAGTACAGATTGAAAATATTACCTTCAAAAATGTGTCAAAAAAGAGACCGGACAAGTATTGGGAATGTACCTTTGATGTAAGTCCTGCTATTCTATGTTTTTTATTAATTTTGAACACAAATGTTTGCAATACATTTCCAAATGTTTAGGTCTATGACTTTTTTAAATGCTTATATCTCTTGTTGTGACAAATCTGATTGTAGAATTCTAGTGGAGAAATTGAGTGCAAGTCATTCTAGTTTTTCTTTATTCATGGCGAAAATCTGACTTTAGATTTAGATAATTAGATTTTGCACAATTTTTTTGGTAGTGGGTTTGCTCACAGTGGTCTCAGAAAAAATGTTCCTATAATCCAGGGCCACTGAATGACTAGGCTCCAAGGAGCACGGTGATATTTAATTTTGGATTCAGTAGCTGCATTTGCAGTCTGCTCTGACATGGTGTGGAAAATAGACCTAGTGCTTGTTAATTTAGCAAATATGTTCCTCCAAAGAATTTCCTGCATGATTCTGCACTCTGCATTTTAAATGGACACGGATCTTAGAAAATTTACTCCCATTACATATAATGTCAATGATGTGTGTTTGCAGACTTCACCAATGATAATTGTAGGATGGTGGTATGCTTCTGACCCATTCAATACGATAAATATCACATGGACTAAAAATGTCACCGCTTAAGGAAGCCTTCTAAAATGGCTGGAAGGCATGATGTTTCAATTTATTCCGATGTATTTTCTTTGGTAAATCTCATTTGAATATTCAAACGATCTAAGATGTTTTGCGAAAGTGTTCTTCATATATTCAGAATTCTGTTTAGCATATCTGTCTAAGTTTACTGCAGGTACAGAACAAGTTATCCTGTCTAGAAGTTCTCACTTTCATTGTCCTCTTTCCAGCATTGTCTTTCTTTCTCTCCTTTATTCCCTCTTACCCATCCAGGTATGCAAACTAAATCTAGGTATAATCTGAATGTTGATTCCCCCTGTCCTCCCTCCCAGCTTTTATTTCCATCTTAAAAATGTGAAGTCTAAACGTTTAGTTGAATGATGTGCGATACATGTAATTAAGTGAAAAGTATTTTGTTCAAACTACTAGCCACTAAGTGATTGAACTGAACTGTCCACATAGTTTCATTCCAAATGTCAGAAAATTTGATGATATCCTTGAAAGTAATTGATGATTTAGGGGAAAGCCGTATCTTCTGGTCGAGGACCACATTCCACTCAGAGGGCCACTGATTCTAGTATTCTCCTTGGTACTTGGAGATAATTAAAGTCTGAGGTAGACATTTTCGCTTTTTGACAGGTCACTAACCCCTCAAGAGCACTTTAGAAAAGATTTATAGAGCGATCTGGGATTGAAACGTTTTTTTTCTGAAGATAGATTAGAGTATCACAGTCGGCTTTTTCAATGGTACTTATACCAATTGGCCATTTTCCCACTGTATATTCTTCATTGCTGCCGAACTGTAATATAATCAAATTAACTGTGTAATTGAGCATTTGGAGTCACTGAATCTCATTGCACTCTCTCCCCGTCTCCACCCCCCCCCCACCCCCCTCACACACACACTCTCATATCTCATAGCTATTTGACCGTGCTAAATTTACTGCTTAATGAAGATATTCCAGCAAAAATGTTAAAATTGGCTTCAATACCCCTGAGCTCAGAAAAATCAGACTGGGAATCGTTTCGCCCACGAAATATACAGTCGGTTCACTTTACAGTATATTCTGTGTAGCGCTTTGAGGGGTCTCGAAGATGTGATAAAACACTGAATCAAATGCAATGATTATTATTATTATTACTCCTGATGCTGTCTGGTGACCCTGGTGGAAAGTACACAACAACAGTTTACATTTGTATAGCGCCTTTCACGTCGGGAGGATGTCCCAAGGCTCTGGACAGTGAGGGATTTGGACCCAAGCAGGGCTTGGGATCAGGAGGGGTGGAGGGCAGGGAGAGTAGAGGTAGGTGGGTGGCCAAACGTCCGGTCGAAGAGGAAGGTCTTGAGATGTGAGTTGAAGGAGGCAAGGGAGGGAGCAAGAAGAAGGGACTGTGGGATGGAGTTCCAAAGGGTGGGGGTAGAGAGGCTGTAGGCCCAGAGCGAAGAGGTTGATATGGGGTGAGCAGGTCACAGAGATAGAAAGGAGCAAGGCCATGGAGGGCCTTGAAGTGAGGGCGAGGATTTTGAACTCTGTCCTCTGGGGGTTGGGAAGCCAGTGGAGCCGGGCGAGGGTTGGGGTGATAGGGTCAAGGAGCCTGGAGCGGGAGAGGACATGAGCTGCAGAGTTCTGGATGGTCTGCAGCTTGTGGAGGGAAGAGTTGGGAAGGCCGACAAGCAGGGAGTTGGTGTAGTCGAACCTTGATGTATTAAATGCGTTGGATGAGGGTTTCAACGGCCTGAGGGGAGAGGCGGAGTCGGGAGATGTTGCAGAAGTACAGAACAAGTAATCCTGGCTAGAAGTTTCAGTCCTCACCCTGAAAGGTGCTATATGTATAAATTGTGTTGTATTGTAGAATGTGTGTGTATGGGAGGTAAGTACTTAACTACTCCCAGATTTTGGAGGGAAGCACCCATCTTAGGGGAGATGTTGCAAATTGCTTATTGTATCATTTATATATTTGCTTACGGTGTTTTCAAATGTTTTTAAGGTCTTACAATCTGACCTGTCCGTGTGTACTGTGAGGAAAACTGCCCAGGAGTTACATGATTTTGTAACTAAAGTAAGTTTGGTTTAAATAATAGCTTGTTTTGGGGGGAGGGGGAGTCGGGGGGAGAATGTAAATGGGTATATAAGACAATGAAATGTTTATACTGTATGTTCATCCTGTAAGTGTGATTCCATATATTTAGGTTGGATGGAGGTTGTTGCTCTATAGGGGATGAGGTTTGGTTTAATGCTTTGTATTTTGAATACCACCAATACATTTGTTTGTCTTTAGCGAAAGAAGGCTGGTATTACATAGTGTCATCTGGCTGAGAAGGGAAGATAATGTTTGGTAGTGATTTAAAGTATCAGACATTGATTTGTGTTGTTTGTGCGGGTTTAAAAAAAATAGTCTTGTCATCTGCTCCAAGACACTAGGATATCTGATCAATGACTTTGCAACTGAGGTTAGTGGTGGTGGTGATTCTACCTGAAGTAACACACTATCTATCTGTGTGAAAAGTCCTGCCTACAACAGGAAGGAGAGTGGCCATCAGTCTGGTTGATAGTGAACAAAAAAGAGGATCCCTGACGTGAATGCTGTAATACAGAAAATCTTGCGAAATCCTCAAATCCTGCACCGCTGCCCCTAGATGTAGCTGCCATTGCAAGGGTTAATAGCCCATTGCCTTAACATTTATAGTTACTGCTGATAAAGTTGCTTGGAAGAAGAGGTCTGTACTCTTGTTTCACAGATAATAAGCATTGCAGGGCCTTTTGGGGGGAGAGGGGGAGAGAGAAAGTGGATTAGGTGATCTAAAAGTAAATTGTACTGATTTTTCTTTTCTGAACAGCTTCCTAAGGACCTTTGTATTGATAATTCTGGAAAGACTGCACTATGGGCATTAAGTCACGTCTCTCAGACTAGAGAGGACAGGTGGCACGCTGATCTGGAATCGACTATAAGGTAACTATTGTAAATTAGGAATTGCAAATTACTTGTGGGAGTTGACTGGAAAAGACATCCTGACCATTATTACTGACTTGTATGCCATCTTGCAATATTCTCTCATACATACCCATGTTGCTGCACTGTGCCTTCCCTAAAGCCGATGGTATTGAATCCAAATTGCTGCTGATCTTGCAGCAGTTAAATCAGATGGATGGCCAGGTGTTTCTGTTTAAAATGTGCTTCATTTTAAATAGTTGAAATTATGTAAGCGTCAAGGGACACAACAAAACATTTACAATTACATATCACATTTCAAGTCAGTAGGACATCTCAAAGCACTTCCCACAACTGACTGCATTCTCAAACTGAAGGGTGGGGGGGCGAAAGCTGAGGGGAAGGGAGAAGAAATAGCTCAAAGCACAGTCAAAGAGATGAGTGGATTTGAGAGGGAAGAGGGAGTAAGGCGGAGGAGGTCCAGAATACAGCTCCAGAGAACAAGGTAGTTTGGCTGAAAGTTGACACATCTGTTGCAATGCATTATTAATACCTACGTTTACATTAAAGTATCTTTCTTAGGGACCTATAAATCCACAAGGGCAATTTATGTACTGATACGATCAGTCTCACCACACGGCAGTTAAGATGGGTTAAATCTGTATGTGAAACTACATTGGCACAGCCAGTGCATTGCGGGCTTTGATTAGGATTGACATATTTATACTCTTATTAACTAGCATTTTTAAAACAATAGGGTGAGGTGTTTTTGATGGTCGATAGGCAGACACTATTTCCACTGGACGATGAGTAAGTGACTACAAGGCATCAATTTATGATAGGTAGCAAATGTGAAAATTAGGCATTTTTTGACACCCCATTGTTAGGATATAGAATGCCCTGCCGGGAGCAGTGGTGGAGAGCTATCTACCTGGATACATTGATAGATAAACAACAGGAAAAGGATTGGTCTTTAAAAGATCCAGCACAGATATGCTGGTTTGAATGGCCTTATTCTAGGCTGTAAATTTCTATGATTCTGTTGCACTTTACCAGTCAGATAGAAGCGGGTCAAGTGCTTCCACCATCAGAGGGAATCGTTCTTTTGAGGTCAACTTAGGTATCATTATTGCCAGCATACAACAATGAGAATTGCTCAACAGGTGAACTAGGGTGCTTTCATATTGCTAAAAGTATTGCGTAAAACTGACCAGTTATACCATGATTTAGTAGTTATTGAATTTCGCTTTATGTATGAAATGTCCCTAATCTTAATTTTTTAAAAATTCTATTTAAATTGAAGCGCTCTGAGATGCTACCACGGGTGATGGGCGCAAGTGGTTGTTGTTTGTTAGTGTTGGCTGTTTACAGTAATCTGTCTTCTTTAGGCAACTGGTTTTGTCTCCATCACAAGCTTTCTTGAAAAGTGAACATGTGCGTGAATTCTTTCTTGGGAAGTCATCGGATCACAGTCAGAGCCATAGTAAGTGACATTACTCAGGGAATTGTTAAGTATATAAGTGGAATAGGTGAAGAATTTATCTTCTGTTTAGGATCATTGTTGAATGCAGTTCAACTAACTCTATAGTAGAGTAAAATCATTTCAAAACATTATTTTTATGATTTGGAAAGAACCAATTTGCTTTCCCTAAATAATAGTGATGCAGTCTTTGTTTCACCTGAAGTATCGTAAACTCAATGAAGTGTATCTTTTAAAAAAAAACACACTCTATTTTGCTCTGCAGCAAATTTACAGAATTCGCTAAAGTTGCTTAAGTCTACAGAGCACTTCAAAGAGGATAGTTCTGAGGCTTCCAGCCAGGAGGAAGGTACGCAGCTTTACATAATTTTTCACTTTCATTTGGCTTATTACATTAGACCTCTGTGGGTAATACTCACTGAAAAGGGTTATGTGTTTACAAGTTGAATATAGTGTCATTTTGATATGTATCTGAGGATAAGGCAATTTTTCTAGCTATGGTATTTTTTGTTTGCCCTCTGGTAGTCCAATATTTCTCAGTGATCTTGATCACTGCAGAAAATGTCCAAAGATGGGTCTTTTCCCTCCTTGCTTTCTACTCCATATCACCTTTTTTTGTTCCTGCGACCGAGTTAGTCTGTCCAGCCACCAGCTAAATCTGTCTTGGCTTTATCATTGAGGGTATCTAGCTACTAATGTGAGTCAAGACTGCTTGTTTTTTAGCAAGTAGAAGAGGGAAGTCTGTAGAGGGAAGCTTATCTTTCACAACTCTTATCTGGGTGCTCAACCGAATCTCCTGCTTCAAGGTGTAAGATTCTTCTATTCTTGAATGGAAGCACTCATTAGTAAATCAATGTGTAATCTTCCTAGATGCCCAGCAGCAAGTAATTCATCATAAGAAAAGTACTGGGAAAACTATTGGATGTAGGTAAGTGCAACAACCTTAGTTTATCTCAGCTGTGCTGTGCATTGCTAGTTACTCCAGTGTATGCGACTGATCCTTTGGTAATTTCACATTTCAAAAGGTTGAATTGATTAAAGTTTATTTTTTGCATTTGTTCACTCTTTTGAAGATTTTTGGGTGTGTTCTTGTAGTTTTCCTAGAGCAGTGATTTACTCTATATGTGGAATATTTTTATAATTGTATGCACATATATACACACATCTTATACACTTTAAAATTATTTTAATACAACTACTATTCAAATAAAAAACATTAGGGTGGAAAAACTATTTTCTCTGAGTTTTCCTCTGAACTTTTTCATTTGTTTGAAAATGTTTTGGCTGTCAGTGTCCCCTTTTCCTTATTGCTCTCTTAATCAGATCAAATGCAGATTTCTGAGCTGTGGGTGTACATTATTTAGCAAGTTGCATAAGTAAAGAAACAATCTTGAAACCAGAGAATAGAAAGGCAAATTTGTTTGCAGCATAAACTTGTTTATAATTTCTTATGAAACATGAGGGTTATAATTTTAGAGCAACCCATTAACAGAATTAGGCTCCTTACTCGTGAATTTAAAAATCATTTTTGCTAAATAATATGCAGTCCTGTTTTCCTGAAGCTTGAGTTCTATGTATTGTATGGTAACCAGAAACAAATTGGAAGAGTAGGGTGTTTGCTGTCGCTTTGCACCTAAAAGCAGATATTGATGGTACATATCAATGGTTAACAGCTGCTTATTATAGAAGTTTATGTCTGTCAATCCTAATGAGTATTCTGTCTATCAATCTTAATGAATATCATTTGAAATGTTAATTCACTATAAATCTATCAGAAAGGTAGAAAGCCTTTGGCCCAGGACACCTGCTTCTTCATATACAGATGTTGTTTGCCCTGTGGCTGCCTTCAAATGTATTTCATCTGAGGAAAGGTTCTTTAAATATTTCTCATCATCCTTCTGAAGAGAGAATGCAACAAGTAAAGTTGACATGACATTGACTAATTTTGCTGAGAGTGTTGGGGAGGTGCTTTTTCGAACAAGATCTTACTTGAGGCATTTGTTGGATTTGTTTTTTTCTTAGTTCTTTGCTTGCAGTGTAAGTTCTAAAATTGAACATTTCAAGCATTTTGAAGATCTGGACATCATGTCTTTTGCTTATTCCTACCCTCCCATCTTCCCCATTTAACTCCCAAATTATTTTTTTATCAAAAATATCACGGCTCCTCTGAGTACCTGTGGGATAAAGTGCACACAGATACTCTGGCTCCCACCCCCAGCTCGCATGCTAAACTATGCCTGTTAAACATCCTCCTGACATGAAAGGAGCTATGTAAATTTGTATTATACAAGCAAGGAGGTCCCAGGTTTAAATTCCAGTCTCTACAGAGTAGGCTCACTGTTGGGGGATTTTGTGTTTCTTTTCATCCTTGAAACAATTCAACTGTTGTTGAAGAGAATGTTTAACCTTATATTTAATTGGAGGTGATTGAAACTCACTTGAAATTGTTAAATAAGCATCAAGGAGCCTATTTAATTAGGATACTACTGTATTTAAATATAATTAAATCGAGCAGGGGGAAAAAAACTAATGTTATCAATGTTTGAATTTTAGAGGGCATAAAAGAAACTTGACCTGAATTGTGCTGCCAAGACGTTTGCATGACAGGATTGAAACTCTTTTGAACAGTTTCTATAACAGTGGCTACTCCTTGCTACTGTAGACTATTCCTCTGAAAATGATCCGCATACTGAATTTTTCGGCATATTTTCCCTTTGTAGTATCACTGGTGTGAAATCTCTGGGGGAGAGTGTGGGTTTACAGCACTCCGATCAGAATGGTGTACTGGACTGGAGGAAAAGGGGCTGCAATACAAAACGTAACACCGAGCACTGCTCAGCTGTGATGGAACAGGTTGGTGTGAAATGTTGCTTGACCAACTTTGTTTGTTGAAGAGTTTGTCTGTTCAATGTTCAACAAGTTTATGTTAAATTCACGTGTTACCAAACTTTGCATGCAGTATTATTGCCTGGTGTCGTAGAATGTATGCCATGTGTAAAGGACCTCGCTCTATTATCTAGCCATTGATACACAAGACAGCCAACAAATAAAAGATGTTTGTCTGGGAGACGTACGTTCTGGGGGAGGGCAGGCTATATTTTCCCCCTTCTTTGAATTTCCTATCTTGTTAAACAACTAAAGCTCTGTGCCCAGTAGAAGGAGGAGCTTTTAAGATGGTGTTACCTACAGGCCCTCAGGATCTATGAATAGTTTCTTTATTAACCATTGACTATTGTTTCCTGCCTTGGAATTGTAGGGTCCAAGACAAAGAATGCATATTACTCATTAGAGACTTATGTTGTTTTCAAAACTTATATTCCTTTCTCTTCTTTTCCCCTCCCCCATTTATCTTTTCCTTTAGTGAACCTAAGAATTAATATTTCCAACATTCAAGCATGCACAGTAATTGCCTATATTCATTAAACTGAATCTGCACTAAAATAGTTAAGTATTGGGAATCTGAGGATGTGAGATTGGAGGTGCTCTTTTGAATGTCAATTTTGCTGTGAGTTGTGAGGCTTCAAAGCCTTTGAAGATGTCATGTTATGCGATTGCACTATATTTGTTTGTCAGCTTGTATCAGTTCGTTCTGCTCTCACCTCTGAGTCAGAAGGTTGTGGGTTCAAACTCCACGGCGGGACTTGGAACCCATATAGTCTATACTGTCTATCTAAGGATGTGCTGCATTGTCGGAGTAGTTGTCCTTAGGGCGATAAGTTAACCCCAAGTCCCTTCTTCCTAGACAGGTAGCCATTAAAGATTCTATGGTACTAATCGAAAAGAGAAGGGAGTTTATTCCAGTGTCCTGGCCAACAATCCCCCAAATAAAATGGGTCATTCTGTGGTCATGGCTGTTTATGGGACAATGCTGCGCACAAATTGTCACACCACTTTGTGATATATCCTGTGAAGCACTATGGTATGTCGCGTAGATGTGATCAGATGCTATATGAAATGCAAGTATTATCATTATTAAATCCAAATCAAAATACTCTGTCCTCTCAACAGTGCAGTTATAATATTACACCAAGTCATTCATTGCTCAATCATACAAACTTAGTTCATGTGCACTTTAACTTGTTGTGGGATTTTATGCACATAGTATGGTGTGGTAATATAAACCGAGTACAGTTTTTTTGAAAAAAAATTGGTCTTATTTTATCCAACATCTGTGGAATACTTTTCCTGTACGTTTGAATCTGCACATCGAGGATTTGCGTTTCTGTATATCAGTGTTTACATTGTAGGCAGAACACCTCACATGCCCTATGTTCCTCTGTGTAATGGGTCTCGTCTAACTGGCTCAATGCACATTTGTCTTCCATCAAGTGAGTAATCTTAATCCTTTTAAGGTGTCTTTAGATATGAGAGGTGACTTGTGTTGAAATGTGCTTTTTCTTTCATCTGTTGCAGTGTTTGACAGAAGATAAAAGGGATCCATCCAGTAGCAAGAAGCTGAACATTCACACTGACATGTACGTATTAGCACAAATGGTGGGAAAGGGTTAAGTGGTTTCTTGGCGACCTTTTTTCAGAATAAACATGCTGATGATCGGTGATGCAGATAATCTAATCATTAAACAGGATACAAATGCACAGCATATTTACTTTGTACTGAATGAGCTCCCTATCATTACTATGCCGAAGTTTAACTAGCTTCACTGAAGTTTTTGGAGTAGACCAGTTGCAGTTCAAGAAATTGTTAAGTGCACTAAAATTTAGTTAACTGAAAACTTTAATGCCATTTTTTAAAAATAAATTGAGGCAATGCAGAGAGTCCACATATAGTTTATTTGGTAGTTTATTTGAAGGCTGTGCCTTGACCCTCTACGCCCCCAAACTCTCTCCCTCAATCCCTCTGCCTTGCCCCTTCCCTCCCCACTTTCAAATCCCGCCTAAAGACCTTCCTTTTTTGCTCGTGCTTTCAGTCACCTCCCCCTTACCTCTCTCCCGGCTCGAGGTCAGACTCCATCACTGTCAAGCACTCAATGCTCCTACCCTGAGTGAAGGACACTATTTTGTTTTTAGAGGCGTGTACTTGTAGAAATGTCACTTCATCTACTTCAGTGTTTGCAATCCATGCAATCAACTTCATGGTAGATTATAACCAGTTTCTGTTTGGAGTTGATGCATTGTTTTAGTTTAGGGTTATCTGCATGGGCAATAAATATTAACTTTGGACAGAAGGGAGAAGAGTAGGTATTCAGCTGGTATGACGTTCAAAGTGATGTGTTTATTTGATTGGAAATGTTTCTGTGCCACCATCCCTAAGCACAGATCTGTCATTCTTTTTAACAGGGATAAAAAGAAGGTAGATCGAGTAAGCCACAGGGCACCCATAAGTAATGGCATTCTCCGAATCCCTCCCGTACAACCCTTATGGACCAGAACAGGAAAAGGTGCAGTATTTGGTTTTGCTAATAGCTAACACCCTCTTTTAATGTAACAATTTCAGTTATGCAATTTGTTTAACAATATTGATAATGTTTTATACTCAAATTTACATACTCTTGGGAATGTAGGTCAAAACTTGTCAGCTGGTTAGAAAAATAAGTATAATCTGAGTGAGTGCTCATGCTGGTGAACTGAACGTTTGGCATTCCTGGATCAAGGCCCTTTATTTTAATACTTTCCTGATATCACCAGTGTTGCTCATCACTTCACCACTCCCTATGATAGGAAAGAATAGTCGTGCCAAAATGTATTTGATTAAAGTGTAGAATTGTAAGTTTCTACAGCCAAGCTGTATGTTCGGGTGGACATGTATTTTTTGGTAGAAATTACTCTACAAAGATGAAGTTGAGAATTGATAACATAATACTAATAACTTGCATTATTTAGTGCTTTTTATATAAAATAAACCTCTTAAGTGCTTTAAAAAACGAAATTCATTATGAACTGAAACTGAATGTTATATAAGTATCAACAGGAGTCCTGTAGCTCAGTGGTTAGAACACTCACCTCACAAGCGAGAGACCTGGGTTCGATTCCCAGCAGGGCAAAATCTTGGGCAAGTTTCCTTACCCCACACGTCTGATAATAATCCCTCTAGAAAAAAAACAATAATAAATTGGTCACTTCAATCCACGACTATTTAGGGGATACTGCTGTGCGCAATTGGCTGCCACATTTCGCCCACAAATATACGGTCAATACACTTTACAATCTGTTCTGTGAAGCGCTCTGAGACATCTAGAAGACGTGAAAAGCGCTACATCAAATGCAAGGATTATTATCAGTATTGGATTACAAACATTGGGTTGCAATTTTTCTTAGGCTGTATTGGGTCTTCAGACATCCTATTGTAAATAACCGATTTTGAAGAAAAACAAATTCCTTTTTCCAAAGGAATTGCAATAATTTGGGCCATCATTTCAAATGATAACTTCACCACAATTGTAATAGTCAGATCCCTGCAGAATGGAATTAGTACTACAGTGACTAGCTTCAAGCTTGAAACAGGGAAACATGATTAAAAAGTTGGTGTTCTTCCATTGCTGCAGCTAATTGGCAAGTGAATGAAGTCAGAATCAGTAACGTCAGTGCTTACCAGCAACCGAAACAACAGACCTTAGGGAATTACTCTGTTTTGCAGTAAACCAATAGAGCTACAGATACAGTTTACTGTTGAAAGATCATTTCAAGGTCACTTAATCCAATCCAAAGCAGTTAGTCTATTTTTCTTCCATTCCCCCCTCCAGCACCAAAATTATTTATTTGCCTTTACAGTAAGTGGTGTAGACTGCAGAATATCAGAATGTGAACCCGCATACTTTTGAAGATTTGCACCCTGCTCTGAATCGCTCATTTATGGAATTACCAAGCAGCATAATGTGTTCAAAGTTTTCCTTCCTTTGATTTTTATTTTAAAGTTCTCTACCTGCTTGGAAGCAAAGGAAGAGAAGGGGCTGTCTCTCCTCGATACTCTTAAATCCTAATAGTTTAGAGATGTTTGAAGAGAAAGAGGTGCTCGCCTCTTATTCTGGAGCTAGCTATAGCTGAACCCCATTGTAACATGGTGGTTTATGTCCATAAAATCAGACCTAACATTAGTTTTACCCACAAAATACACAATCAATTCACTTTACAATATATTCTTTACAATTGAGGCATCTGAATGATGTGATAAGGTACTATATCAAACATAAAGATTATTATTTTTATTCATTAATAATAATAAATAAGCCAGTCTTACTAAGCCAGTCCAAAATCCTTGGTGTCTTGTTCGGCCCTCAACTATCCTTTCTACCCGACATCTGTGCCATGACCCACTCTGCCTTCCCCCACCTCCACAGCATCGCCCGGCTCCGCCACTGTCTCACACCTCAGGTCGCTGAGACCCTCATACACGCCTTCATTACATTGAGACTTGACTATGCAAACTCCCTGCTTGTCGGCCTCCCCAACTCCTCCCTCCACAGGCTGCAGATCATCCAGAACTCTACAGCCTGTGTCCTCTCCTGCACCTGGCACCATGACCCTATTACCCCCATCCTCACCCGACGCCACTGGCTTCCCATCACACAGAGGATACAGTTCAAGATCTGGTCCTCACCTTCAAAGCCCTCCCCCCTACCTCTGCGACTTCCTAACCCCTTACCATCCTGCTTCTCCCTCCGCTCAGCAGGCTATGGCCTCCTTCATGTTCCCTGCATTGCCCGCCCCACCATTGGTGTGCGACCTTGTGCCACTCTGCCTCCACCCTCTGGAACTCCATCCCGCAGTCCTTTTGTCTCGCCCCCTGCCTTGCCTCCTTCAAGACCCATCTCAAGATCCTCCTCTTCAACTGTGCTTTCGATCACTCTGCTTCCTCCCCTGCCCTCCACCCTCCTCCATTCCGACCCCCAGCTCGGGTCTGAAACTCTGACTGTCCAATGTCTGGGACGTCCTCCCCCCTTCGTGAAAGGCGCTATACGAATGTAATTTTGTTGTTGTTGTATTAATTAATATAACCATTATATGATTATGAAATCATGCCTGCTGTTACATTCCCCTCCCAGCTGTGAGTTCCTGCTGCTCTAACAGGTGTTTACTGTATTACTAACTTTTACTTTCCATTGTTCACACTTGAACATCGTTTCAGCTAGTTTTTAAAAGTGTGTTTATATAGACGTATCTTGCAGGTGTCTTATAAAATAACCACTTTGTAGCTTTTGAGAGAGTCTTTATTTCCATCCCAAGGAAGAAGGATTGTCTATTGGTAGACCAGTTGCAGCATTGAGAACTAGTTGCATAACAGCAGTGTAGGATCTCCCTTTGCACTGGTATACGTTGCTATTTGACCAATTGTGAAAGGGGATTGGTGACCAAGGAAGTTACACCCAGGTTTTCATGTACGATTGTCTTTAAAAAAAAATGGTATGCCGGTTGGGGAGGGTGTAGGAAGTTAAGAGTAAAGTGTTACAAAAAAGAAAGGACTTCAGGTAATGGGTTTTGAACAAAAAAAAAAAATCATTTGGCTTTATTTTATTACTCAACGGCACCTACGTGTGTTTTAGAACTGAGGTTGGAAGTTGGCTGTGGTCCAGAGCCATGTGGAGACAGTTCTTCAGAAAGTTACAGTTCTCCTTCCAGCCCAAGGCATGATGGGAGGGAAAGCTGTGAAAGTGAAGATGAGAAGGACAAAGGTGAGTTATTCAGAATCTCTAAAGTGCCTCTCAATTTGTCTATTGGTTTTAGCAACTGGAATTGTTCAAACTTGATGGGCAAATAGAGTGCTGAATAGCTTAATTGGAGATGCCAAAATATTTAAGCCTGAAGCCTAAGATGGAGGATTTTGGTCAGTAATGTTTTGTTGTGGAATAGTTCCACCTCAAGTAAGTAAGTAATTGTGCAGCTGAAATAATTACACAAGTGGTATCAGAGCTGGAAACTGAGCTGCTAAATGTACTAATGGACAGGGGAGTGTTCTGTAATCTGTTCGAAGGGGCAGTTTATTTTGTAAACCACTTGTAATAGAATTTTAAGAATATTAGTTCTGTATTCTGGCATGTTTTATTTAGGTAGTGACTGCAAAATTGGATGCAAACGTTTTGGTGCCTTTCAACGCGGTGGAGTTTTATCTCGGACTTTACTGCAGGATTTCAAAATGCCAAACCGTTTTGATTTTTATCAGCATTTTTGGCTTTGAAAACATTTTTCCACTGCCAGTGTTGGCAGAGGAAATTATGTGACTTGTAAAATAGTCAGAATTATTTTGAGAGTTGATCAGAAACATAGTTGTTTTTTCCATTCCAGCTGAAACTTCCATTTGGAGTTGGTGCGTAATTGTAAACTAACATACTATATTGCCGTGTTTGTCTAATTTGCGTTCAGATCAGTGTTTCATTCCTACTTCTTTAGCAGGGCATTTTCTTGCAAGTTATATTAACAAATACTGGATTCCCAATTTATTATCTAAAAATCAGTATAACTAAAGTTTGATAACTGGTGAGAATTTGACTTTGAATATGTAAAATCTTTATTTGCCACATCCATGAACACGTTTATACATCAAAGGGAATTTCCCAATTTTGAATATTAAATTTGAACATAACTTGACTAAACTTAACCTTCCTCAACACTGTCAGATTTGCATTGTTAATTTGCCCTTGCCACAAAACACATAACATTATATCCATGATTTAAAAGCAGTTGGTTATATTATGTGGTAAATACACCAGTTTCTCATTTGCATCTACAGATCCCACCCACAGTTCAGATTCAGTTTTGTGGAGCCCGACTGAATTGTTCTTTTGGCAGAATTAAATGATAAGGCTCTGTTTCAGCTTGGAAATAAACTGACTCCAATGTGTCTCTTCTTGTGCAGATTCTGATAGCACTTCTGAGGATTCGGGGAAAGAAAAGCCGAAAGTGAGGTCTTCCTGTAGTTCTGTTGGCCACGGAGTTACCAATAGGCCTACTGCTCAAGTAGCTCCAGTGCAGAATGCGAGTGGCAACATTCAAGACATTCCATCAACTCCAATGCTTCCACACATTCCTTGCATGCCTCCCATGCATTACATGATGCAAAATGGTGGAAAGAAAGTGGACTGCGTTGCTCCTGTAGACGGTAAATCTGTTGGGATGATTGTGACTGTCCCTCCCACTGCTGTTTCTCTTAGAGATTCTTCAAATGTAACTCCAATTGGTGCTGTTGAAGAAAAGAGACTGGACCTAATGCCCTCGCCTATGTCAGCACAGACTCGTTTCTTCGTGCAGACTGCTAGTCCTGCCCTGCATCCCATGGCACATCGACATAAAATGACTGCACCACAAATGAGTTTAGAAAATGGCCTTATTCCTGGACCACAGCAGCCGACTGGTACTGTAAACATCGGATCAGCCAACACCGCTTTCATCCCCGTTCACAGTCCATCTCAGTCGGGAAAACTTCCAGTAGCTGTTGTTCTGGACCCGGGTTCGAAAACTGCGACGCCGAGTGTAGTAGGACTAAATCCCATCGTGCCTCAGACCGAAGGAAACACAGGAATTGTACCTCAGCCTGCCAGTGTAAAAGTTATGCTTCATGCTGGTGGTCTGCCACCACCTCCTGGCTCATATAACTTAAGTGGGAATCCAGCCAGTGTTATGCCTTTGCAGGGTGCTGCAGCCACTCCACCTCCTGTAGCCCCGATTCACAACACGGGATCCTCAGTTCCCACCCATACCCCAGGCCCTGTACCGAGCCCCAACACTGCGTTAACACACAGCACTGCTCAGAGTGAAAGCAGCTCTTATATAAATACAATAGGAAACAGTAGCACTAATGGGACCATTCAGACCGCCCCTCAACTTGGCTGTGGGACTTGTACTTCCTGTGGATGCCGAGGAAGCTGTGGGACCAATAGTAACCCTCCGATGAGTTACTACTACCCTAGCACCATTCATAGCCAGCTATTCAGAGTTCCTTTTATCCCTTTCACCTCTCTTTGTAATGGTAGCTACCTCAACCAAGCACATCAAAACAGTGCAACACAGATGTCCTTTTATCCGAACCCTTACCCCAGTGCACTAATGCACGATCCCATGGGAAATCAGACCAGCTACGGGATGCAACAAATACCAGGATTCGTCAGAGGGCTTCCGCTGATGTACCACGTGGCCAATATGGTCACAAATGTAAATGGATTGGGACCTAAAAAGAACGGAAACGTATCCTGTTACAATTGTGGTGTAGGTGGACACTATGCGCAGGACTGCAAACAGCCATCCATGGAGGCCAGTCAGCCAGGTAAGCGGTGTGAGTATTTCATGAGAACCAACATTGTGATTGGTTTACAGCAATCATGTTCTTCCAGAATTCTAGAAATTGCACTTTTTGCTCAGTTAGGCTGTGATGTTACCCAATTTCAAGATTTGAAGAAGAATTTTAACACCAACCAAGTGCCAACACTACAATGAAAGAAAGCCCGTGAACCAGAATGTTATGAAACTGTTGAAAGTAATCAGTATTTTATGAATGGATCTGACAGTGTGACTCCCAAGTGATTTAAACAGTCAATGGGTATCTGTTTACAGCCTGAGTAGTCACAGCATTCTTTTAGTAGGGTTCCCCTCTCAAAGTAAATGTGGGTTCCTTACAAGCAGAGACAGGAGAAATTATAATTGGGAATAAAGAAATGGAAGAGTCACTAAGCAAATACCTCTGTCTTCATTTTGGAAGATACTAAAACTTACCAAAAATAGTGCGGAACCAAGAGACTAATGTTAGTGAGTAACTTAAAGAAATTAATATCAGTGAAGTAATATATTAGAGAAATTGAAGGGACTAAAAATCGTGTTTAACAAATCTTGTAGAGTTTTTTGAAGATGTAACTAGCAGGTTAGATAGGGGGAACCAGTGGATATAGCGTACTTAGATTTTCAGAAAGCATTCGACAAGATGCCACATAAAATAAAAAAGGTTGTTATATAAGATTAGGGCTCATCGAATTAAGGGTAATATATTAGCGTGGATCGAAGAGTGGTTAACAGGCAGAAAGCAGAGAGGAGGGATAAACGGGTCCTTCTCAGATTGCCAGGTTGTGACTAGTGGAGTGCCGCAAGGATCAGTGCTTGGACCTCAACCGTTTACAGTCTACATCAGTGACTTAGATGAGGAAATAGAGCTTAATATATCTAAATTTACGGTTGATACAAAGCTAGGTGGGAAAGTAAGCTGTGAGGAGAACACAAGGAGGATGCAAAGGGATATAGATAGGTTAAGTGAGTGGGCAAGAAGGTGGCAGATGGAGTATAATGTGGGAAGTGTGAAGTTATTCGCCTAGATAGAAAAAATAGAAAAGCAGATTACTTTCTAGAGGGGGAGAGACTAGATAGTGTTAGTATTCAGAGGGATTTAGGTGTCATTGTACACCAATCACACAAAGTTAGTATGCAGGTACAGCAAGGAATTAGGAAGGTTAATAACAATGTTAGCGTTTATTGGAAAGGGATTAGAGTACAAGAATAGGGAAAACTTGCAATTGTATAGGCCTTGGTGAGACTGCACCCGGAATATTGTGTGCAGTTTTGGTCTCCTTATCCTTGGTCTCGCCTTAGAAGGGGTGGCAACGTAGGTTCACTAGGTTGGTTCCTGGGATGAGGGGGTTGATCTACGAGGAGAGGTTGAGTAGACTAGGCCTATATTCTCTAGAATAGAGAAGTAGAGGTGATCTTATAAGATTCTTAAGGATCTTGACAGGGTAGATGGTGTGAGACTGTTTCTCATGGTTGGAGAATCTAAAAGTAGAAGTAATAGTCTCAGGATTAAAGGTCATCCCTTTAGAACTGAGTTGAGAACATTTCTTCACTCAGAGGGCAGGGAATTTATGGAATTTTCTACCCCAGAAGGCTGTGAATGCTCAGTCATTGAACATATTCAAGATTGAGATCAATAGATTTTTAAAAACTAATGGGATTAAGGGATATGGGGATAGGGCGGGTAAATGGAATTAGGTTAGAAGATCAGCCATGATCGTATTAAATGGCGGGGCAGCTCCGAGGGGCAGAATGGCCTACTCCTGCTCCTATTTCTTATGTTCTTATGTTCAAATGTCCACTGTAGGATATGCTGTTTTACCCAGCAATGTTTGTGCCTGACTAGAGTAGGCGTCACTCCCTAAGTAAATTTTCCCTATTTATCTCCCAGGGTTCAAAGGTACTATGCACTTGTTTTGGTGTACATAGGCACTTTGAATCTTGGGATTTATTGTATTGAAAACCAGCAGTGTGCTTTTTTGCCCCTTCCCTTGTTCTCAATCTCTTCCTTCCCTTACTAGTGCATGGTTATCCCTATTGAGTCGTCTGTTAAGATGTAGTCCTGTAGCATAGTATTTAGAGCACTCGCCTCGCAAGCGAAAGGACCTGGGTTCGATTCCCGGGCAGGGCGAAACCTTGGCAAGTTTCCTTAATCCACACGCCTCTGTTTACCTTGCAATAAGTAGGAACCCACTTGCTAGGCGATTGGCAAATTGCTTTTTCCAGGGGTAATAATCCCATCAAAATAAACAAACAAATTAATAAATAATTTGGTTAGTCAATCCACGGCTGTTTGTGGGACATTGCTGTGCGCAATTATCTGATGGGTTTCACCCACAAAATACTTTGCAGTATATTCTATGAAGCGCTTTTGAGACGTCTCAAGACATGATAAGGCAAATATCAAATGTGACATCTCAAATGCAGGTGTTACTATTAGTATTAAGATGCTCTGCATCAAGGCATTACTTCTCCCTTGTGCTTATGGCAGCAGTCAGGAATGTTGTGAGGTGGTGGGATTATCCTGTTTTATCCATGTCTTTATTGTTTTGTTGAGAAATTGTACAAATGTGGGGGGCACTTGTGAGAAGATTGTTTTTTCAAAAAAATTGTTTTGATTACATTTTCTCAAACCTTTTGTTTCCTTCATTTGTAACAGCTAATGTTCATGTTAGAATACTAAAACATGAACTGCCAGTTTACCCGCTGGGCAGTTATAGCATTTTCAGGTGAAGTTAACCAATTGGAACAAAAATTGCAACCTGACCGTAGAACTTTACAGCGCAGAAAAAGGTGTTTTAGCCCATTGTGCCTGTGCTGACTCTTTGAAAGAACAAGCCATTCAGTCCTATTTACCTGCCTTTTTCCTATACCCATAGATTTTCCTTAGAGTTGACATTTTCTCGCTGCTGTATTTAACACTTAGCTTGTTATCTCAACGGCTGTAATCTAAAATCCAGGAATGAAAATGTGCAATCACCGTTTCCATTTCCTTGATAAGTGACACATTTGAAATTCAGTATCCTGGCTTCGTGTGGCTTTTTAGAACCTTGTGTTTTGGTTTTAATTGCAGTGTATTTTAATGCTGGTCTTTTTTATTTTATAATAATGAAGCTGGAACAGAACATAATATCAAGAATTTGCTAACCATTCCTCTGGGGCTACAAAGGCCCGTTGCAATTAATCTATATTCTTGTTGGGAGTGGGGAGGGGGGAGGGTGGTGGTGGTTTGAGAGCAGTCAATTTTCACATTCCTCAAGGCTAGGATTTACAGCTGTGCCACAGAATCTCAAACGGTGATTCCGATATCCTCATCTTGTTCCTTGATTTATTCCGCTGTCACCACACAACATCCTTTGAATTATGCACAGCATATTGTGTAATATCCTAGGATATTTTTAAAAATCACCAGGCCAGCGACCAAACCCCCCCCCTCTGAAAAAAAACGGCAACAGTCTGCGTGATTCCCTTTCGAATTTCCGGTCTGAGTTGCAGTGATTCTTCTTTTACGTTGTTTTTGAACCTTTTTTAAACCGGATGTTCACGGCCTCTCTCACTTTGGAAAGTGGCAATGCATTAATAATAATAATAATCCTTGCATTTGATGAAGCGCCTTATCACATCATTGAGACGTCTCAAAGCACTTCCCAGAATATACTGTAAAGTGAATTGACTGTATATTTTGTGGGTGACACCCAGCGGGCATTGTAACTTGTGGGACATGGACCTCTCCCAAACAAAAACCAAACTACCATGTCATTTAGCTTTCAATTGAGGAAAGTCAGACAGGCCTTTTATGGAAGAGAACATTCTTGTTGGTAGGTTCCTCCTGGTGGCCCAACCAAGAATTGATCAAATTTTGCAACAAGCAGTGGTAGGAACTAAACTTGACACATCAATTGACCTTTTATGGTGCTGAACAGACTTGTACTCAGTTTAAAGAAAGTCGTGTCTTGGTTGCTTTGACTTTTAGCATGCGTTGTGGCTTTGTTTTCAATTGGAGTATTCTCTTTGAATGGGTTGGTGAATTTTATTGTTCAGTTTTAGAAAGTCATTACTCCTGCTCGTTTTCATAATTTAAACTGGACAATTTAAGACGCACTTTTGTATAAAAGGAATGAGTGAAGCAATCAGAGGAATTAATGGATCAGTATTTACTAATTTGGGAACAGATTGAAACTTACCCAATGCTTTGTCCACATTAGGTGCAGAATTGTAGAAAGTAACCAAGTTATCGTTAGAAGTTCTTGCAGGAGAGAACTTGTGAGACTCACGGTGGCGTAAGTGTTATGCGGTAGAATAAGGATGAGTCGAGTGGCTGACTTCTTGGGAGCTCTTTGCTATATTTCTGTTTCATCATTAACCTGACGAGTTGCCTGCTGGATCCACAGCATATTTGGTATAATTGTGAATATTGAACCAGTAACTTGGAACTTTTGCGATTAAAAGTGATGCGGTAAAACCCTTCTCGGTACAGGAATGCAGGACAATTGCTGAATCAATTTCCTAGATTGTTAAAGTGTGTAATACTGCCATCTGCTGATGCAAAATTTGAACTATCAGCAATAATTTTGCCTGTAATAACCTGCCTCATTTTAAAAAGGAGTGGGGATTTTTTTTTTCGCCTCAAAGTCCAATAGAAACAGAGATTTATCAACTTTTTTTCTTTTTCCTTCTTTCCCTCCCCCAATAAAATATATAGCTTTTAAAATGCGAGAAAGGCCCTATATCAAATACAAGGATTATTATTATATTAAATGGTTTTATTGTTTACAGTAACCACCCCCCTCACTCTTCCACTGGCTCATTGTCAGACTCCGCCACTGTGAAGCGCTCCAGGACGCTACCCTGTGTGATGAGCCCTATATAAATGCGAGTTGTTGTTGGTATTGTTTGAATAATTGAGTGTAGATTTTGAAGATCTAGCTTTCTCTTGAATACATCTGTACTATCTGATTCAACCACTGCTTTAGGTAGCGAGTTGTACAAACTCACTACCCTCTGAGTTTCTCCTGAATTCTCCCTTAGACTCCCAGTGTTATATTATACTGTTGCTCTCATTCAGTTTCCCTGTGGGTTTGTTCTCTTTGTGTCTCACTCTGCTTTGACTGATGCTTTACATCATTCTGTGTCTCTTATCAGTGTTTCTCTTGAGGTTTCCCCTCCATCTTTATCTTGGAAATTGTCTCCCACTCATTTGCTCTTTCCCATTCCTTTCTCTCACACTCGCGTTCCCTCTTTTGCATTCTGTCACCAACATTTTGCACATTTACTGTACGACCAGAAGGTGACACTCACCTTCCTCTGGCTTGTAGCTTTCTCATTTTAATGATCATACTCACTCACTCACTCACCTGTTCCCCCACCTTGCCTTTTCTTCTCTCCCTCTTCCTTCCGTCTCTGTTCTCCTCTCCCTCTCCTCTCTACCAAAATTATTATTCAGATGCTGTATACATTGGTCAACTGCAACAAGATGTAAACCATGCAATGAGACTACATCTGCTCCAGGTGGAATGTTGTGGCTTTTGAAATGTTCTTTCAGGGCAGGTATCTTGCGATGAGTTTGTATGCTGTTTGTAGTTGTCTCTTGCTAAAAATTTTGTTTTCGTTTTCAGGTGCCTTCAAACTAAAATTTGCTCCACCTCATGATGGTTTGGACTCAGCAGACTAAGCTAGGAAAATGTCAACTTAGCAATGAGCCTGAATGTGTGGGTCTGACCCGACCCATTGTACTTGATGCTCTGTTTCTCCTGCAAAATGGTTTTCTCCAGTCGATTGGGATTAGTACATGTTCACTGTAGTCTGGGTTGTCTTGAACTTTTTGTGGCATTTTGTTTCATTTAGGAATGTGTCTGACATTGTTTGTCTGCAGTGTTCATGATGCAAACGGAGAAGTCCTGTGATGTGGAAATGCTTACAATTTGTGTCCTCTAGTTTTGCACTGATGAATGTACTGTTCCAAGTGGCATGTGCAATGTTTGCTGTTTATAACACATGGGAGAGTTTGAGAACCATCACATCTAATAAGGACACGCTGGGCTGGAATGAGCAGACTTGCTGCCGAATAAAAATGCTACATCACACATCATGGTACAACTCATATCCCAAACTACATCATTTTGTCCTTTATTTTAAACTGCTGCCATTCTCCCCATTTTCCCTTGGTTGGTGTTGTAACCATTGGAACAAGTAATTACATGAAGTTAAAATATTTCTGTTTGGCATACAGTAGTCCATTCATTTTCTTTAAAGAGCTGAAGGGTACATTTAGAAAGTAATTCCTTCTCATGGATTGGGGGGAAAAAAAACTTCGTAAAATTTGAGTGCCTGTATTAACCTAGATGAAAAGTGGCAGAGAAAAAAAAAAGTTCAGAAAGATTAGACTGGTTAGATTTCTGTAGACCTTAAGAGAAGAGTATTCAAATATTTTCTTTAGAGCAGCTGATTATCTTGGTTACTATAATTTTGACACCAATATTTATAATGGAAGTTTAAATTTGAAGAATGTGTATTTTATTTTTGTCTTTGAAGAAAAACATTGATGAGTAGTCACAGCCATTTCTGTCAACCATCTTTAAACCTTTAAATAAACTTGCATTGGAAACTACTTGATTTTGTTTTTTTAAAAAAAACTTCTAAGCTCAAACTGCAATTATGGCAGTGGTTACATGTGTTTTAGAATGTGAAGCAAGTTTATTTTACTCGTGTAGCTGTTCGCAAAGGTTATGGGGCTCCATGATGAAAAACCTGTTCAGTTAGATATTTATTATATGTAGGGTAATTTCTGTAGATTTGACCTGGTAGTGAATTCACCAATTCACAACTATTTGCCACTACTATAATGTGAAGACTGACGCCTGATATCTAGATGGTATTAATCATGTCAGCGCTATCACTAATTTATGCTGCTGCTTTTTTTTAAAAAAAGCCGATATGCACTATTTTTGCTTCCAGGTATATTTCTTTCCTAAAAGCGCACTGAGGTTATTCACAAGATGATGGCAGTTTGGAGTGTGTTGCATTCTACAGCATAGGGTGACTGAATTAGTGCTGTCTAGTCTTAACCCTTGACATTCCTTATACTGGGAATATATGGAGCTGTGTTATTGGCAAGCAGCAGTCTGCATCTGTAAATGTGTACAGTCCTGCCTCGAGTTGGTTAATGTATTTTGTTGACTTGAAAAGAAGTGACTGTCATTTTGTTTTTAGGCGTTCAAAAGCCTTTGTCTGTCTTAAAAGCCCTTGAGTTATCAAAAAAGTTTAAAAAAAAATGTAAAAATTGCAGCAGATTCTACCTGTTGATCATTAATCCAAATGAGCTGCTTTCTGACTAGCTGGGAATTTGTATGAGTTGACAACATTTTCTTATTGTGTGTAAGAAATTCTTGCTGACAATAAATAGGCCTTCAATGCCTCCTATATGAATCGTAAGAATTCAGTTACTTTCAAACGTTTGGAGGACAAAGCTTTAAGAGTGGCATTTATTTTCCTTAAAGCGCATTTCCTTTACCATGTTTTTGGGGTGACCAGTTGTATACAAAACAGGTGTCTCAGTACAATTGTGCTACTTAGTTAAATAGACGTAAGTTGGTGAACCACACGAGCCTGTAAGACAATGTGTTGTAAATAACCTGACGATTGTATTTGAACTAATTTTATGGTTGAAAACTGTACTGTATATAGGAGGTACACTGGTACCTTCAGTTCATACATATGTTTACTGTATTCTTTGATATTCAAGATGTTATGTACTGGAAAGGTCACTTATATTTCTAGAAGAAATTTTGGATTTTATGCAAGTTTTTTCCCCCTGAATTAACAGCAATAAAAATTATACAAACCTTTTCATTAGTTTCCTCTCATTTTAAATGCCAATATCTCACCAAAATCAGGTTGAAAGCTCCAGTAATCAAATGTCAGATTTAGTTAACTTTCAAGATGACCTGCCTGGGAGGGGAGTTTTGCTAATTTTATTCTGGTGCTCCAGATTTAGTCTGTCTACTACAGATCCAATTAGAGAATTACCTTAATAGTGACGTCACAGTACAATGCCTTCAGTAAAAGACTAATGGGTACGTAGTTTGTGCAAATTAGATGCACGCCATTTTCTTCACATGTCACTTTCTATATCCTTTTTTAAGTAAACCATCTCTTAGCCACATGCATGCTTGTATGTACATTCTGATGCTGATTTGTCTTACCATGAATGCTGCACTATTTTTATACTGCCGCATCCAGAGGTAGGTTGTTGGAATGGAATTCACACTCATTCCCTGGAGGGACGTATCCTGTATACCCAATTCTGGAAAGTATTAGGCGTAGGTTGGCAGGAGCCAAGGCTTCGGGGACCCCAGAGTGTGCATTGGCATACCGCTGGAGTCTAACCAAATGAAAATGCATAACTTGCCATCGATAGCACTGTCTGGCAAGCTTTCCTGCTGCTTGTCTAGCTAGGACCATTCTATCCATTAGGGCTTTGGTTTTCAGGGGGTTAACAAGGGCTGTGTGGGAAGATTCCCTGCCCCCAGGAACTGATCTGCCCGTCCAAGTCTTGCCGATGAACCAGGCCGGCCGTGCTGTCATCATCAGTGCCCTGAAATACTGCGGACCCGATTGGCTCAGGAACCTCCAGACTACCGAGACAGGCACAGAGAGTTGGCTCGATTCCGATATTCCGTTGCCAGGCATGTCACCTTGGAGCCAGTTCAAGGAGAACCGGCTTACCTCCCGCCAAGGATAGTCACTACCCTTTTATATTAATGCAGTGAGACAGTACCTTGTGGTATGAGTGAAGTCTACCATAAACTTCACTAGTTATTCAGATTCTACTAAACGTACTTGAGGTGGCTAACAAATTATCATGTTCTTGCAGGCATATTTAAGATCTTGTATTGTGGAAACCTGCTGGGAACAAATCGGCTGCTGAGTTTGCCCACAAATGGTGTTATTACATTTGACAGCAATTACAGTAAAACAATTTAGACATTTCAATGTGATAAGGCACTATTAAAAGGTCTTCCTTTATTCTTACTGCCATGCTTTAGATGATAAGCGTTGCAGTTTGGCAATTACCTGTGAGATGCTCTGAAATGTTTCACTATTAAGGGTATATCAAATGCAAGGATTATTTTAATAACAGGAGTGTGATGCCTGATGAATGAAGGACCACCAATTTACAAAAAGAGGGGCTTGGGAACTCAAAGACTGGTGACTTGTTGAGAACATATTGGATAGCATCCCAAGGAATAAAGAAACTCGTAGAGAAACAGAATTTAGAGGGATTTAATGGGTGGGAGATTTGTGGGACGAGTCTAGAATTTGTGAAAGCAATAACGTACAGATGAACATTTCCAATACTTAGATTTTGGCACTGAGAGAAGTTGGCCCACAAGGCAGAAAGGCAAGGAATCGGGGGATGGAGGGGAGCCTCCTGAGGAAATATAATTGGAAATGTCATTCTCTGGCAGGGCATCTCCATTTTATATTCTTTGTTATGAGGATGAGAATTAAAAGAATATATATTAAAAAGACCAGAATAGCCGCAGTGGTTTGTGCTGGGAAAAAATGAAGAGTCTTGTAGTAATAATAATTGTTGCATTTAGTAGAGCATCTCTCACATCAGGAGGACGTGTCAAAATGCTTCACAGGATTTACGTGGAGTCCTGTAGCTCAGTGGTTAGAGCACTCGCTTTGCAAGTGAGAGACCTGAGTTCAATTCCAGGCAGGGCGAAACCTTGGGCAAGTTTCCTTACTCCACACGCCTAATAATAATCCCTCCAAAACCAAAACCAATAATAAATTGGTCATTTTCAATCTACGACTGTTTGTGGGACATTGCTGTGCGCAATTGGTTGCCGCGTTCGCCCACAAATATATACAGTCAATTCACTTTACAGTGTGTTCTGTGAAGCGCTTTGGGACGTCCTCCCGATGTGAAAAGCGCTATATCAAATGCAAGGATTATTATTATTATTATTATTATTATTACTGTGTAATTGTAAGCAAACGCAGCAGCCCAGCCGTACACAGCAATGTCCCACAAACAACCATGAAATTAACGACCAATTTTACTTTGGGGGATTGTTGGTCAGGATACCAGGAGAAACACCTCTTTTTGATTAGTACCATGGGATTTTTATTGACCACCTGAACAGGCAGACAACAACAAAATGACATTTGTGAACAGCCTTTCATGTCGGGAGGACATCCCAAGGCGCTGAACAGTCAGGGATCAGGACCTGAGCGTGGGGCGCCAGGGTTGGGATGAGGGAGGGCAGAGGGGGTAGGAGGGCGGCTGAAGGCACGGTCAAAAAGTAGGATCTTGAGTCGTGCCTTGAAGGAGGCAAGAGAGGGAGTGAGGTGAAGGGAATGTGGGATGGAGTTCCAAAGGATGGGGGCAGAGAGGCTCAAAGCCCGGCCGCTGATGGTAAGGCGGGTCGGACGGGAGACATGGAGCAGGCTGGAGCCTGCTGAACAGAGGGAGCGGACAGGTTGATCGGGGGTCAGCAGGTTAGAGATGTAGGAGGGGGCAGGACGAGGATTTTGAATTCTATCCTCTAAGGGATGGGGAGGCAGTGGAGCCGGGCGAGGGTGGGGGTGATGGGGTCACGGAGCCTGGTGCGGGAGAGGACACGAGCTGCAGAATTCTGCATGATCTGCAGCTTGTGGAGGGAAGAGTTGGGGAGGCCGACAAGGAGGGAGTTTCCGTGGTCAAGTCTTGAGGTGACGAATGAGTGACAGGGCCTCAGTTTAATGACTCATCCCAAGGAAGGCACTTCCAGCCCTGCATTTGAAGTGTCAGTTTAACACTGAACCCACAACCTTCTGACTCAACAAAAACATGGATTTATGTAGTGGCCTTCACACGGGATGATGTCTCGGAGCAGTTAACAACGGCAGAGCTTGACTCAGAGGAGAGAGTGCTACCCAAATGAGCCAGGTTGGAGTAGGGGTGCGGGAATTATTATGTTGTCCCGAACTATGTAGGGATTATAATGCATAATTGGTTACGTGATCTGCTTTGAAACAAATTCTCAAATCTTGCCTTAGACTACATTGGTCTTAAATTTAGAACGTTTGGAATGTCCTAGGTGCCATATCATCAAACTTACTGCTATAATAATAATAACATTATTAATACAATCCACTATTGAACTTGGCAAAGGACCACGAAAAATCCCCCAGTGCTTGCTACCTGTTGCTGAATCTCTTTATAAAATCTGTTGCTCAGCAAAATGGGTAATTTTGTATTTCTTCATAGCTGTAGCCACAGAATAAGACAATTTCCAACTCATATGCGGTTAACAACAACAACAATATTACATTTGTATAGCGCCTCTCACGTCGGGAGGACGTTAACTGATTTTAAGACATCTAAATTCTTCACCAACCAACCCCTTCAACCCAAATACTTGCAGTATGGTCTGTTGTAGTTTACATGTATGCCTACCTGATTTTTCACTGTTTGGTATTTCCTTTTTAGAAATTTGTACCATTTTTTAAATCAGCAAATGGCCTCTGAAGTCACTTTATTGAGGGGTGTTTTCTTTTAAGATCTTGTGGTTTGGTTTCAGGTCTCTGCTGAGGTAGCTGGTCCACAGTGGCCCT